TATTTTAATTAATTATGCTTTTTTTAGGTACGTCAAAAATCTCAATAATTATTTTATTACAATATTTTTTTTATCTTTCAACTTTTTATTAAAAATAATATAAATAAATATATAAATTATCTTAAAATTTTTTAATTTAAAAAATTATAAAACACAATTATTTTTTAAATAAAAAATAATTCTAAATATTGTAACTAATAATTTAAAAAATTATAAACTACTGTAATAAAATTAATAATCTTACCAAAATCAATTGTGATAATAACCCCAGTGGAATATTACTAATGAGATAAAAAGTAGACTCTTGCGGGGGGACAAGTAGGGTATTTTTTACTCAGAGCACAGCCACAGAGGATAAGAGCTCTTTAATAAAATTGATAATTCCAACGTGGAGAGGATGACTGGATGAGGATAAGGCCTAGAGTTTCTTTATTACAAAAATCAAATATTGCAATTACTACATATTATAAATGCCTGTGGACATCACCAACCTTTTTCTTCTTATGCTGCAACGAACAAACCTTAGCAAATCTCCAAACGCATAAAATTTTATTTTCTGCGACTTTCTCTATATATATGCTCTTTATCGAGATCCCGATTTGAGTATCAAGATTGGGAGGTTGTTGTTGGTTTTTCTTTCCTGTTTTGGAAGTGTGAATTAATTATGTCGATTGCATTGGAAAGGATGGAAGCGGCTTCGGGCTTCGGTCGGGTCATGGCGTGTTCATCGGTATTCGAATCGCCGGCGCCGGAGCCGGAGAGGAAAGTGGAGGAAGAGGATTGCAGGAGTACGTCTGGGACGACTTCTTCCTCCTCGATCGGGAGGAATAGTGACGAAGAAGATGCTCCGTCGGAGAGGTCATTGGACGGCGGAGATTGCGAGGAGAATGAGGTTCAAAGTTCGTATAAAGGTGCCTTCGATATGATGAATTCGCTGGAAGAGGTTTTGCCATTCAGGTAAATATATCCATCTTTCTTTCTCCAATTTTCTAAAAATAATAATAATAAAAATCATTGAATATCCATTAATCCGAAATTTTCTGAATTTATTTCGTTTTTCCCTGATAATTTTTGGTTGTTTTTATTTTCCAGGAGAGGAATCTCAAAATTCTACAGCGGCAAATCTAAATCTTTTACCATTTTAGCCGATGCTGCTGATTCCCCGTCCATTGAAGATATTGCTAAACCCGAAAACGCCTACACCAGGCGCCGGCGAAATCTTCTGGCGATTAACCATGTCTGGGACAAGAACCGGAGTAAGCGACCTATCAGCTCCAGCCGGAGTACATTGGCCTTGGCGGTTGCCCTGAGCAGTTCCGAGAGCCTTTCTAGTACCAGTGAGGAGTCTAATTCAACCTCGAGTCCTCGTCTTCCGCCACTGCATCCACGGTCCAGGTTGCCTTTCAGTAACAGTAACATATCTTCCTCACCGCCGACGAAACAGAATTTCTCCAACTGGCGATCCTTTTCTGTGGCAGATATACAACAATGTACCAACACGGCGACATCAAACTCAAAGGGTTGTGACAGAAATGACTAAGAAGTATACATGATACATTGATATTAGTGTGTTTAATGCTTCCTTGTGTGCTCGTCAGAATCCTTGTTTCTGGTTGAAGATCAATCTGCCCAGCAGAAATTTAATGCTGATTGTTTAACCAAGACATTTGCATAATTTTACTGTAGTTTTACAGCTAAATCTATGTACAGCATACAAAATGTTTATACAGAAAATGAATACAATTTAGGGAAGCAGAAAGAATCCTGTTTCAAAACAGTGATTTTGAAACAGGCCTACAATATCTGGTGAAGAATCCATTGAAGCAGTTTTTCACATACGAGACACTGTCAATCTGTGACTCTTTTGCAGTTGCTCTGGATCAAATTTTGCTTTTGGGTAGTGCGGGAAGGGAACATGAAATTGTCTTCCGAAGGAAAAATCATGGTTCTTGTTCTTGAAAATCACATTCTTAAGCTGCAGTAGAAACCTTTTCAGTTGTGTGCTGGACCATTCTACTTTGATTTTGGGTAAGGAATTGTGCACAAGAGTACTCTAATAAGAATGCAGGAAGTTCGATGTCTGAAGGATCTATTGGAGGAATTGCCATATCTATATCCTCAGTTGAGAAAGGAATACTGCAATTTAAAAATCAGATATTCAATCCAATAGCAGGACAAGAGTTGAATATGTAAAAGATAAACTAAATCAACCGTAAGTGGCAGAAACATATTTGCTATGAAATCTTGTATACTTCAGAAACAATTCCCAAGATCCATCATTATCTCCATGTAGTATGATAGGGTCAAGCACCTTACCTAAGATCATCATCCAACAAGAAAGAATTTGAGGTTAGATTCTGGCTGTCCTTGTTTAAGATTTCCCTCATTTCAGCAACTACCTGTTAATAGCAATTTTAGAACTTCAGAGGAGGTAGTTAACAAAAATCAATTGCTCATGCAAAGATTGCAACTTGCCTCATTCGACACACTCTGGGTGCCATATTTGTCATCCCAGTACATTGTACTTATTCGATAGATTTGCCTTATTGTCAATGCCTGTCCAAATTCCATAATATAATCAGTTACCTAGAAATCATGATTTAATATACAGGAATGGAATTTTTTTTCCAGGCAATGAAAAGAGAGACAGTTGAAGTTACCGAACATAGATCATGTCTAATTTCATCTAGTGACTTCTTCCTTTTCTGATGTATTACCTACATATGATGAATAATCAGTGAAATGTAGACATCAAAGTTCATATCTTAACAAGTTAAAATAGAGGTATTCCTCAAAAAAAAATAAATAAATAAATAGAGGTAAGCAGGAGCTTATACCAGAAAACCAACAGCTTGTCTAATATAGTTTAGCTCGTGCCAAGAGGTTCCAGCAAACTGCATTTTCCAATAATCCAGAATTAAAACCATTCCCTTCAAGATGTATGGTACAAGTTTAATAAAAAAACTACCTCCTCTTTTGCATTGAGTATCCATTTTTCTATTTCTTCCAGGCCAGATTTCACATACTCTCCATTTGAAAATGTGCAACATTCGCGGCGAAGTAAAAGACTGAAGATTATTTTGGCTTAGAACAGTAAGTAATCAGTCACACATTATTAATGCCAAGAGAAAACCTATGTCAAGACCACTTACCTGTTGAAAAGTGAGATGTTAATGAATGAGAAAACCTGGGTGAAGAGCTTCCGGATGAAGAAAGAAGGCACCTACATGCAAGTTGCTTTGAGTTAAAAAAATATATAAGGGGACAAATGAACACTGAGAATTGCAGTAAAACTTCTCTAGTATAACATAACATTAAGGGACATATCTATCGGAAGGAATCATAAAGATTATTTGCAAGTAATAAAAAAAAAAACAAGCCACCATTCAGTGATACATTAGATGTAGCAACAAAGTGAAAGTGAAACACGATTGCTGTTGTTACTTGTTACCTTAAAATAGATGACCGTGTTACCTTTAAAATAAATAACTAAACCTTACTTCATCCAGAAAAGCAAAAGTTAATTTTGACTAAACGTTTTATATATGGTATTAATGAAATAATAGCTTTACATCAATTATGGAACTTGCCTTTGAACTTGTCATATGCGGCATATTTATATTGCATCATATGTATGCTTTTATGGATTATGAAATATCTAGATTTATGGTCATCACTCTTGAATGCTTGTACATTGACATGAAAATTGACTAAACATAATGAACACCAAAAGTAACCCATTGGCATGTTCTACAAGTTGAAAGGGTATAATAAAAACAGAAGACATTGTTTACTCGTTCAAAAAGGGAAGAAAAGATTGCACATACATGATTTTCTCGCAAACGGACCATAAGAGAATCCAAAAATTTGACAATGCTATCCCACTGGCTACTGTGTGACAGCTGTGGAACACCTCCAGTAGATCGAGATGATTTTCCAGCAAGTACTCGTGCACTCTTTGGCACCTTCGTTTAACAAAAGAGTGGTAGGTGGTCAATGTTTCTCAAGTAGAATAAATTTTAAAACTAAAACAAGAAAGCATAGAAAAGCAATAAAATAAAAAATTCCTGAGCAAATACTGCTTGTAGTTGAGCATACAGTGGACAAACCATTTGAACCATTTCCAACATATTCCAGTAACTGAATTCAAACTCTAGCCAAAACTATGATAATAGAAAATCTGGAGACATTGAGCTTGAAAATGACAACAGCTACAGTAGTTAATCTGATTTTTAAACATTTATCTGTGGATCTGGCTACCGTTAATGGACACCAACCTGGATGCATAAACCCAACAGCGGAGATAATTCTTTCTTAATATTGTCACGTATCAAGCCAAAAATCTTCTCAACGCAGGCAATTAGTTGTTGTTTGAATAGTATTGCTGGATATCTTGCTTCTAAGTGTGACATACCATCCTCTAATCCAAGGAGTTTAAAAGGAGATTTTAGACCCTAAAAGCAGACACAGATAAGATCAGATACACCTTAGAAAATTATTCAACCAAGTAAAAATGCAACCACTAAACATTGATTACCATACCAAGAGGAAGAAATGCATTTCATTCACCCTTCAGAATGCAAGTGAGAAATAGGCCAACTTATTTTATTGAAATTTCATAATCAAATTGTCAATCACTCGTGATGCATTCTGCCCCACAACATTAGACAAGTAACATCACCATATTGGGAATATCATTCAGCCAACTGCCTTCAATTTCCAGGTAAAGTAAGAGAATGCCCAATGTACCATAAAATGCACCAAGCAAAGTCGAAAGCAATTTATTATGTTTATTGAAAACTATTAGACATACTTAATAATGTAACAATTTTTTCAATCCTTTTCTCAGGTGATTTCTTCTAGATAATATATCCAAGTGAAGCAAACAAATATAACATGATCACATTGATAAAAGAAAATTAATGTTTTGCAAAGGAAATACAATAAAACAAAAAATATGGTTCAGGAAGATCTAATGTAGAGAAAATGTGAAAAATCTATTAACAAAATTTAAACAACTGAACTTACGTAAGCAAACCTCCCAGACAAGCCAGTGGAACCTGCAGACCGCTGAGTAGTTGCAGTCAAAAAGCCATTTGACCGTAAATTCCTGAGCAGGAGCCATAAAAGTGCTGACGCATTGGACAGCCAATATGGTAAAGTAATGTCTTCATCTCCATCCTGCAAGAAATTTGATAATCATGAATACCGGCAACAGTAAAAAATAATTCAGGTTATGGCTAAGCTTCAACAGCTAACAAATATTTACAGAAAAAGTAGAATTACAATTCAGAAAAATGGTAAAAATATAAAATCTATATACATACTTAAAAAATCTATAACAATTTGACCAGATGAGAGAACCAGACCTTGAGAACGTCATTAATGTGTTCTATGACATAATCAAAGATAGCTGTCCTTTCAGACTCAAAGGCATGCCAATGAAGAAGACATTTGTATATGATACAAGCAGCAAGCGGTTTTCCATTGTTAAACCCAAAATTTTCTTTGATACTCCTTGAGAGAAATTCGTAGTTTTCCTGCAGATAAAAATATTACATTTCAAGTAACACAAATGCAAAATCCAAGCAAACAATGCAGATCTTTAAGAAAATATAACAATGTCCATTGTCAATCACATGATGATATTGGCATTTATAATCTAAAACTGGAGCCTTCAGAATTGATAAATAAGAAACCTGTTGTCTCCCTGCTGTCAATTTTGAGTGACGTGATTCTGACATGGCATGTGAGAAAGGCTTAATAAGCTTTGAAGGTGTGGGTGATTCCTGAACAAGAAAGAGTGCAACAAACCAGATCAAAGAAAAAACAAAAACCATGTTAGTAGATAAGTGTTTAACGGTAAAGTTAAAAAAAAAAAAAGAAAAGAAAAAAAAAAAAAGTAGTTTGTAATCAAGGGTAGTGAATAAAAAACAGTTATTTAGCAAGCAATAACGTTAATGAACTAAAAGCATAAATAGAAGCAGATAAAAACTGATAAAAATCAGAACTTACAAATAGATGCTTCTGGTCAATCTGGGAGAGAGCAAGTGCACCAGCATATTTCTGATTCAAATGAAAGAAAGTTCATCAATTGTTACAAAGTCCAGTGAAAAGAAAGCTTTATACAAAAAGTAATGGAAGACAGATAAGCTACCAAAGACTTATCAAACATGCATAACAAACTGTATAAAACAGGAAGCAGACACGCAAACTTACATCCGCAAATGCCTTTGAAAAATTATAACGGCTGCTTTTTGGTGAGGGACTCAATGCTTTTTGTCGCAGAACATGATTCTCATCTTCAAAATGTGTAAGCTTCTCCTTGAGACTGAGTTAAACCACCCCACCCCCCCAACAAAGAAAAAAAAAAAGAGAGGCATAAAGGATCAAGAAGCAACACATGTGAACGGCAAATGAAAACACTGAAAGGGAGAAGCAGAATAAATAATCTAAAAATTAAAAGAGAAGGATCCTGTAACTTTTGCTGTGAAAAAAATTAAAATAAACACCTTTGCACATTTTGCTGGAGTTGAGAGCACTTCTGCTCAACTTCCCGTAACTTTTTAATGGTATCATCAGCATTCGTTTGAGCTTTCTTCAGCTTAAGCTCCAGAATGGAGTTCTGCTTTTCCAGTGTATCCAAGGAACTCTGTAGAATAAAGCAGTTAATGAATATTGGGAGAACTCAAATCTAAATGTACAACAAGACAGTTGGCTTGTACTACTACAATTTGTTGATTGATTGACATGTACTTGACAGACTGTACTTGTAACTAAATCTCAGTGTTAATTAATATTATAAACTGGTAGTAAAGTTTTAACAGCGCCTCATTCTCAGCTTACAACCAAAGCGGAGAATAGGTCTTGATGACAATATGAGATGTAGCAGAGTTATGATGATAATAATTTAGAGAAAAATAAATTAGAACTCTAGAAGACTGACCTTTAGCAATGAATTTTCCTCTCTCATTTCAACCATCACGGTAAGCTCTCTCTCTAGAGCAGTTTTTTCTTTCATTGATAATTCTACTTGATTTTGCAGCACAGCATTCTTGTTGCACTCATTGATTGTTGCCAGCTTAGCTGCATCTAACTCAAGGGCCATAGATTCCAATGTTTTCTGAAGTTTGGAGATTTCAACTGACTTAGCCTCTTCATTGGAAACCTGCAGTCCAGAATGCAAGA